ATGTGTGTCAATTTGGCTAAGCCATGCTTCCCAGTGGGTTGGTAGTTACATAATGATGTAATCATCTCTTATGACGTGATTATCCTTCGTTTGTAGTGTTGTAAATTCTGATCCGTACGTTTTCGTGAGGCAGGATTGGACTGTATTAACGATGATTAGGTTGTTGTTAATGAGGCATGATTAGGGTAGGATGCAACACCCTTACTCAGGCCACAGCCCTGATGCAATGTTAAGAGTTTTTCTGAGGTGTAGCTTCAATCATTTGTCTTGCAAGAGGTAAAAGGAGGGACCTTGGTATCAGAATGTGTCCTTTGGAGTCAAGGTCCTAGCACTAAGAACCTCCTTGACTCAGAAGGCAATTGATGCTAAGACACATGGGTATCTCCAAGGGACGCAACACCCACAGATGTTGAGACAAGGACCTTCCTCCAGAGGTGACAGAGGGAAAGGCTTCCTGTAGAACGAGGGCCCTGAATCTGGACTTGGAGACTCAAGCTGTGAGGACACATTTGTTTGTTAGAGTCATCCACTTGCGTTATTTCTGTTGTAAGAGTACTAGCTAATTAAAGCAGGCAGAAAGCTACTTGGAAATGAGGATGCCAAGACTTCATCTCACTTACTTTGGGCACGTTATCAAGAGGGCCCACTCCCTAGAGATGGACATCATGCTTGATAGAGGGTCAGTGAAAGAAAGACCCTCAACAGGGTCTTTCTTGAGAAAGAAACTTCCCCATTTACAGCTCAGAGACATTGATGACATTTTTCATGTTGTGCTACCATTATGGCTGCTGCAATAAGCTCAAGTGTAGGAAACTACGGAGGGGGCAGAACTACGCAATGTTTCACTCTGTTGTACGTGGGCTGAGTCAGAACCCACTCAACAGCACCTAACAACAGTGCCTCATCTGTGAAGTCTATCAAACATTTAATGAAGGAAAAAACACCACTAGACAAATGCTTCCAGAACTTCTCAGCTCATTCTTAAATACACTATTTCAATATAAAAATTGTGCTTGGAGAGTAATTTTTATAAATTCATCAAAATTAGTATTTCTCTCTCAGTGTACTCAAAATTCAAAAGGTTTTTGTTTTCCAAATTGTGGTAGATATATATATGCAACAAACTGCCATTTAAACATCTTCTTTTCTTCTTCTTCTTTTATTTACAAACTGCCATTTAAACATCTTTTAAAAAACACTTTATTGTTTTAGGTGAAAGTTTACACAGAAAATTAGCTTTTGCATGAATAATGTCTTTTAGATGCTATCAACACTAAGATGGTTCCTATCTGGTGGAGGTTAGATGTCCCAAATGTCAAACATGTCCAAACTGCTATACCACCTCCATCATCTCTAACATCAACAACGACTCCTCCCCTCAGCACTCTCCCTCCCATCTCTAGGCTCCATGATTCCCTGCAACATCTCACAGAACTCATGAACCAGCAAGGAAATGGCTCATGGGGTTGTGGAGGCTGTTAAGTTCCAAAGCAATGGGTCAGGGATCAGGCTGGAAGGTTCTCCGGACTCTCGTGGTTGCAGGGGCTGACAAACCCAAATTGGCACATCAGATAAACAGGCTGCTGGCTCACGAGGCTCTGGGAGCTGGCAAATCAGGTTAGACAACATGCTACTGGCTCCAGTTCCAAGAACCAGAGGTCAGACGATGATGAGCCAGGTGTAGGATCCAGAGCTTTGCCACAGCTTTCACAGATACTGGATGCGACCATTAACCTCCAGGAAACGCCCCTTAAACAAGGCAGTGCAAAGGTGTGACCTGAAGAAACGTGGTAAGGTGGTGACTGGGGTAAGGGTGATAACTCAAGCTGTCATCTTCTAGTAAGCCAGTGACCCAAGATGCACCCCACCCTAATCATGTCTTATTAACCTAATGGACAACTCACACCAAAATGGTCCAGAGGCTAGGATTTACAACACATCACAAAATGGAGGACCATGGCTAAAAGGGCCATATTAAGTAATTCACTGCACCAGTTTTTCCAACCAATGATTCATTCACAAATTGTTCTGTGATGTTGGGTGCAATCCCCACAATGCGAGTAATGTATTTTCTTCCCAGGTCCTCCATTTCCTTATTTCCAGTTTTCCTGTCCCTCTTGGTCTTCTCGTTGGTTTTGTACAGTTGTACAGTTCTTCTAAGGAGCACATTCTTCATGGGGATTATTGTTCTATAGCATGTCTGTTATTTGGCCGAAAGGTGGCCTCCAGGAGTGTCTTCAGTTTCAAGTTTGGTCAACATTCTTAATAGGACATTAGTCATGGTTATCATGTTGCTCAACCATCACCATTCCCAAATTTTCCCATCACTTGAACAGAAATTCAGTATCCTCCAAGCACTGGCATGCTGTTTTCTCTGCTCCCCCACCCTGGTAATAATAAACTTTGGTCTCTATACACGTGCCTATCCCAGTTATTCCATGTAAGTGGAACTGTACAGTATTTGGCCCTTTGTGAATGGCTTATTTCACTCAATATAACGTGGAAAAAAAGGGGGGGCATGGCCAGACATAACTGAGCGGGATAAAAAATCTTAACTAATGTTTGGACCACGCATTGTTACATGGAGGGATACTTTGCGTATCAGTGGTTTTACAAAGATAGATTTTCTTATATTGATGTTACGGCAATAGATGGAAGAAAAAATACTTTTATAAATAATAAAAATCTTGGTTTCAAATGGCTACTCATGGGGAGGTATGCAGTGAAGAAAAAATTAAGTAATTTAATTCCTGTTCCAAAATCTCAGCATGCAGAAATTCTGAAGGATTTGACTAGGTTGTTCTGACTTTATTTTCAGATATTTCATTAAATCCTAAAATGATCAAAACAAATGCAAAGATACCATCAAATCTTACCATTTAAATCCAACTTTTTCGTTGGTTCCAAAGGACTTGAGTTACATAAAACTTCCCCCAAACAGGTACCCCAGTGAAAACAAAAGGAAGTGATGGTTGATATATTATTTACACAGTACTTTCTAAAATTATAAAATATTTCACATAAAGGAATACACATGACATGAATGTAGGATATAAAGACTTATATCCAACAAAGTTTAAGAGAACATTACCAACACTACTGAATGCCCTTTTTTGCCCTTCTCAGATCAAATTCCCCTTTCATTTCAAGAAGTAGCTACTATCTTAAATTCTGTATTTAGCATGTCCTTTACCTTTCTTTGGGAACTCTGGTGGCACAGTGCCTAAGGCATTTGACTGCCAACCAGAAGGCTGGTGGTTCAAACCCACCAGCCACTCCTCGGAAGGAAGAGCAGGCAATCTACTTCTGAAGAGATACCATCTCGGAAACCCAAGGTGTAGTCACTATGAGTTGGATTTGATTTGACGGCAGCAAGTTTGGTTTTGGGTTTTTACTTTAGTTTTGCTACCTCGAAGATATTTGTTTGTTTTTATATCACTTTAACTTTATCCAGTAGTGTTGTATTTTGTATTCTGTGACCTGACACTTCATTGAACATTCTGTGAGATCCAGCCATTCTGATGAATCTGGTTCTCGGTCATTTCTCCTCACTATCAGTATGTCGTGTGCCACTGAGTCAATTCC